AATATTCTCTGTATTACTTCAACTATATTAAATATGGGAGCTCTGGTGGTATAGTGCCTAAGACATTTGACTACTAACCAGAAGCCTGGCAGTTCAAACCCACCAGACACTCCTCAGAAGGATAGGCAATCTACTTCTGTAGTGATACCGCCTTGGAAACCCAAGGAGAGGTCACTATGAGTCAGATCCGACTCGAGGACAGTGAGTTTTGAATATTAAATATATTTATTTTATATTCTGTATCTATTAAACTCAGTATCTACATTCTTTACAGGTTTGGTTGTTTCTGGTGATTTCTCACTCATGGTGGTTTGTTTCCTCCTGCCTTTAGTGACTTTTGATTATGAATTCATGTTCTTTGGTTTTATATTTATGCAGTGGTTCTCAGTCTGAGCAATTTCTTCTCAGGGGACATTAGCAATATCTGGAGACATTTTTGGTTGTCACAAGTAGGAAAGTCCAACTAGCATACAGTGGGTAGAGTCCAGAGATACATTGCATAGGAGAGTTTCCCACAAAAAAGAATTGTCCAGCTGAAAGTGTCAATAGTGCAATTAGAATTCTTCCAGTTTGTATTTAAAGTTTATTACTCCAACTATGATTCACATTTGTTTCTAATAACCTGGGATTACTATAATCTAAATATTCAGTTTAGGGATTTTTAGGTCACAAAGGCAGAATGAATTTAGGCCTCAATCCCAGATGAATATGGGCTTGTGATTAGGAATTCTCAGTAACATTTTTTTTTTTCCTCCTTTGTACCCCAGCCAAGAATTAAGACTAAAACAGATTTGTATGGCCATTATTATCATTCTTTGGGAACTCTGGGAGTTCCAGTTTTGTATGGGAAGTCTCTGATCTGATTCACCCCACTCAGAACCAGGCTTGGTCCCTTGTCCCTGCTTGCTGCTCATTAAAACTTGAGTGTAGGCCATCAGTGGTGGGCAGATACCTTAAGACAAATGTCAACTCCAGTGTCTACATACACCTCTAGATTTGACCTTTCTCATCATTTCTGGTCTTCAAGAAATGCCCTGACTTTACAATTCCTTAAAAAGTTGGAGATACAAATACCATTTGACCCAGCCATCCCATTACTAGGTATATACCCTAAAGAAGTGAGAGCCATAACAAGAACAGATATATGCACGCCGATGTTCATCGCAGCACTATTTACAATAGCCAAAACTTGGAAACAACCTAGATGTCCAACAACTGAGGAATGGATAACCAAACTTTGGTACATTCACACAATGGAATACTATGCAATGCTAAAGAATAATGTAGAATCTGCAAAACACCGTATAACGTGGATGAACTTGGAGGACATTATGCTGAGTGAAATAAGTCAGTCACAAAAGGACAAATATTGTATTAGTCCGTTATTGTAAATGTTAAGGAAAGGTTTATCTATTGGAGGACATTTTCTTTGTTGGTTACCAGGGGTGGGAGGGGAGGGGAGGGAATGCTGTTAGATAGATAGAGATAAATGTTGATTTGGGTGAAGAGAAGGGCAATGTACCAAAGGTGAGTGACCAATATGGCAGCATTGAGGATGAGAAAGACATAGAGAGTTACATGGGCAGTACAGACAACAAATATGAACTCCTTTGCATATACAGTACTGAGTTGTCAGTGAAAGCAAGCATGGGTATAGGGACGGATAGATGGGTGAACAAGCTAAACAATTAGGTATGTCTAAATGGAGAGTGTATCCAAGATCATATATAGGGTTGGCAGACAATGGGCCTATGGGTTCATGTGAATGATCAGAATTCCCAGGTGTATAGTAGAGCTGACAAGGGGCAAGGTTATGGTCATTACTTGGTCACAGCCAGCTACCCAGAGGGACCAAGTAGTTGATCCTGCGGGCTTGGGACCATAGTCGCAGGGTACATCAAGCTCAATTGGCATAGCATACTATACAAAACATTGTTCCACCTACTACTTTGGCGAGTAGCGACTGGGACCTTAAAAACTAGGAAGCTGCCATCTAGATGCAACAATGGGTCTCTCCTCATCAAGAAGAAAGAAGAAAACCAAAATTAATGGAAACAATCAGTCCTAGCAACTGGTACACCATCTGATCTGCAACCTATACAACTATGAGACCAGAAGAACTAGATGGTGCCCAGCTACCACTGCCATCCACTTGGAAGGGATGTAGGAGATCCTGCATAAAGAGGGAGAACAATGTGGTACAAAACTCAAAATCAATTGGAGGCAAAAAAAAAAAAAAGAAGGTGGGGACCAGGTTTGCTGGTCCAATGGAGCCTGGTGTAACCACTGAGACTATGGCCCCTAGCTGCCCTTCAGGTCTGGAATTGAACCCACAACTGTGGTTTCCAGACAAACAAAGTACAGGCATGTGAGTTAAACATTTACCTCAAGTAGACACATGCCCTGGAGAGAACAATCATGGGAGAAGGAAGGGCTGCTTATGCACAGGGAGATAGCTCAGGGTGCAGAAGAGTATGAAGGGATGGACACTGGGAGGAGGTAACTATGGGGAGGAAGTGGGAGGGGAGCTGCTGCATTGTAAATTTTGGTCAATGACATGAGACAAAGTATATGTGAACTGCTGTATGAAAAGTGAATTTACTCTGTAAATCTTCACCCAAATCCTAATTAAAAAAAAAAAAAAGAAATGCCCTGACTTTCTTGACAATTCAGCGTGAATTAAAAAATATAATTTATGTTTTATGCAATATTAGTTAAGCTAGATTAGGAGGGTACTAAAGGGGCAAGGAGTTGGCATCTTCTGTCCTCCTCTAACTTCACAAGAGGAAGACAGAGTCACTATTAGGAGTCCAAGGCCTGTTCTTATGAGGCCAGACATGCTGCCACCCTCCAACCCTCTTTCTAACCTGATACCAACCGTCCCTCCCATGGCACCCACCACCTATCTGCTGGGTTCAATAATTTGCTGCAGTGGCCACAAGAACTCACAGATTATGGGGTTTATTAGGGAAGCAACAGGCTACAATTCAAGTTCAGGAACGTGCTCAGTCTCTCTGAGCCGGCAGTCTCTCTCAGCCGTGTGTCTCTCTCAGCTGCCTGTCTCTATCAATAGTGCATCTCTTTCAGCTGGCAGAGAGAGTCCCCTCTGCCTCTAGGAGGGCTTGTTTTAAATCTGGCACAGTGCCAAAATTAACCAATCCCAACATCAGAATTCTACACGCCTGAGAGAGAACTAACTGTCCCAGAAGATTACTTCATGCTGCCCCAGGTGGATGACTTTAACAAGTAGCTACTCAGTTGTTCACAGCAAAGTGGGAGTTACAAAGAGTGTGGTTAGGAAAGCCATACCATGTAATTCACTACACTGCAAAGGGGTTTCTCTGAATGGCTGTGTGCTAGACTGAGAAGTCAGAACTTTTTGTTGGTCTTCTTTCTTCTATGTGCTACAGTAGTTTTCATGTTTCTAGGTATTGCTTTCCATCAAAGGGCAACAGCCATATGATCTCTCTGTTTTTATTCTTCCCTAGACCCCAATCCCTGGCATTTGGGACTGGTTGACAGTTCCATCATATGCATGTAACTAAATGCCCTCAGGAAGAAAATGAAGAGTACTGGGAGATATGCACTCTCCTCCCAATGCTGCCCCTGCTGCACTCAGGACGAGAAGCATCCTGTATATTACCTTTCTAATCTCTCTAGGTAGTAAGATTTATTGAGTAGAAAGCAACAAGGGAGCCTTATAGGATTCCGAAGCTAAATGTATTCAATTTAAAGGATTAGCATTTATTCTGAGATTGTGTCCTTCCTATTTTTTGCTGTTAAATTACTTTCTTAAATGAAATAATGATGATAGTTGAAGTTCTTTTTGTTTTATTTTTCAAATTTTACTTATTCCTTTATTTATTTTTGTTTTGATGTTTCCTTACTTAGTAAATAAAAAGTTGCTAATATCAACCCAGATTTTCTTGAAATTTTACTTGTCCCAGAAATGTACAACCCCTAACTCCCACTAAGTAGAGATAGCAGATGAAATAGTGCATAATGCTGTGATGTTTAGAACAGAAATCATGTAGGTAAATATTGGGGGCACCTGAAAACATGTGCTCTTGGTTACATCAAGAGCCTCATTTGTCATTCAAATGTTTTCAGATCCTGTCGTGTTAACAATACTTTGCAACTTTTGCTACTAGACAGTATTTGATTATCAAGTAATCTTCAGTACTCTCCCAGTGATTGAAATTATATTAAACAACTCTTTCCATAAGGCTGAGCCTATACTAGCAAAATTGCCTGGGTACTTCATGTGCTCCTCAGATATATCTGGTGGGATTTATGCTCCCAATTTTTTAAGAATATGATTCTGAAAGTCACATACCCAGTATTCTGCCAATAACTCACTGTATGTCTTCCTCATTTGTAGCACTAGGGGGTTGGGCTAAATAATCTCCAAGTTACTTATCAACACTGATGTAAGTTGTGATTGTATTTATATGTACACTTAAACCATAAAGAGATGTAGGTATTGCATATGTGTTTGTATTAGATCTAAGTTCTAGGTTACAAATTTGGATGCAAAATGCATTAATTTTCTTGATGCAATTAATCTTTAAAAGGCATATTACATCTGTAGTATTGGTGCTACCATTTTTGGCAGATACTCTTTACTCATTTCCTTGTAAGTATTCAATATGAAACTAGCTGTCTACAAAGGATAACTTGAGTCTTCATTTCTCTGGTGTAAAGAATGGTCCTATTTAAATACAGCACATTGTTTATTGTCACAGGACTATATTTTTAAAACCTCCATATGCTTGATACTCAAGTTCTTTATAAATGTTTAGTCATTGTTAGAATATAGACACTTGATGACTACTTGCAAGTGCACAAACCAAAGATTTTGGAGATCTTTGAATTCATGACAAAGTCGTTAACTGGTAGGTTTGTTATTTCCTTATGAGTACAAGGAAAGGAAGTATTAAAATAACTCATACCCATTTGAGAAAGGAAATTAATGTTTCCTAAAAAAAATTCTTTTCTAGTGAAGGAAGCCCATCCCCCAGAGTGGAGCTGCTGCATAACATTGACCCGGACTTTGTAGATGTATCACCATGTGAGTACCCAGTTCATTGCTCCTTAATCTCTTTGGCTCACAAAGATAGTTTTATTACCTAATGTATCTCTATCCTAGTTTTCTCTTTCATCACTTGAGTTGATAAAGCCAAACAGTTCTCCCCGACACACGTTCCACTAATCTCATTGTGGGTTTAGTTCTACAGAGAGTGCCATGCTGTGAAAAGAGCGTCAGGTTATGGTCAGGAGAGATGAACTTTATACACACACACACACATATATGTATATGTACTCAACTTTATATATATATATATATTTTTTTTCAACTTCATATATATTTTTTTTTCAACTTCATATATATTTTTTTTTCAACTTCATATATATATATTTTTTTTCAATTAAATGATTCACACAATTTTAGAGACTGGAAACCCCCAAATCCGTAAGTCAGGTGGCAGGCTGAAGAACTCTGCTGGATCACAGGATTATGGGACTGGCAAATCCAAAATCTGCAGGTCAGCTGACAGGCTAGAGACTTCTGTAGACTTATATCCCAGGAACTAGAGATCAGATGACAAGAAGATTGCTGAGACACAGGCTGAAGAGAAGGACCAAACTTTGCCATTTTATACTGGAGGCAAGCTAGACCCCATGAAATCTCCCTTTTCAACTGATTACATTGTATTACATTATGGGAGAGCAACAAGTAGGGTGTCTGCCAAACCACTAAGAATCATAGCCTAGTTGAGTTAATACATGACATTAACCATCACAATCTGTTGTTGTTATTATTATGTGCCATTGAGTCAAACCCGACTCATAGCAACCTCTCCTTGGATTTCCAAGGCAGTATCACTACAGAAACAGATTGCCCAACCTTCCTTCTGAGGAGTAGCTGGTGGGTTTGAACCTCCAGCCTTCTTCTTAGCAGTCAAGTGCCTTAGGCACTATGCTACCAGAGCTCCTCATCACAATCTACCTTTATCAGATTGATACCTATACACATCTCCTTAAACCATACTTAATCTCAAAATAAAGACAATTATAAAGTCATACTGTGCGTAACATGATATGACTAACATGTGTAACTGAAAATGTACTAGCCCCTTTTACAGCTTATATTTTATAATAAGAAATGAGAAAAGGGAGGGAAGAAAACAAAATATTTGCTATATATATATGTACACATAGACAAACATACAACACAGAAACAAGAAAGAACTACTCATAACAATTACAGTTCTGCAACTGGTCATGTGGTTGTAGATGGTATTTTAACAATCTGTTCCATATTCCCTTTGCCCTCAGCAAGCACCTCAGTTTGTCATAGTTCTTTGCCTGGTGAGGTGACCCAAATCTACATTCCTGAAGGATCTGAGCTATGAGTAGTTCTGTCTGAACTGAGTTGTGGTTTTCCATTGACTTTTAATCATGGGGCATGATAGTATTAAGAGCTCTCCTGTTTTCCATACCTACTCTCCTTTACCTCCATTGTATAACAGTTTAAGAAAGTAGCATATGATCAAGGACTGATGGTACTGAAGGAAGAAGTCCAAGGTTCACTGAAAAATAAGGCTCCAATAATTAGCAGAATATACACTGAGACGTTACAACAAACAGATGTAGTGTTGAAGGAGCTCACTCATTTGTTTCAAGAAAGTTGGCCAGTCGACTGGAAAAGATCCATATTTGTGCCAATTCCAAAGAAAAGTGATACAACAGAATGTGAAAATTATTGAACAATATCATATGCAAGTAAATTTTTGCTGAAGGTAATTTAAAAATGGTTACAGCAGTACATTGACAGGGAACTGGGAGGAGTACAAGGCAGATTCAGAAGAGGGCATGGAACGAAGAATATCATTGCTGATGTCAGGTGGATCTTGGCTGAAAGCAAAGAATATCAGAAAGATATTTGTGTTTTATTGACTATACAAAGGCATTTGACTGTGTGGATCATTACAAATTATGAATAACATTGTGAAGAATGGGAATTCCAGAACAGTTAATTGTGCTCGTGAGGAACCTGTGTATAGACCAAGAGATAGTTGTTCAAACAGAACAAGGGGATACTATGTGGTTTAAAATCAGGAAGAGTGTGCATCATGGATATATCCTTTCACCATACTTATTCAATTTGTATGCTGAGCAAATAACCTGAGAAGCTGGACTGTGTGAAAAAAGAATGTAACATCAGGATTGGAAGATGTTCTAGTTACCTAGTGCTGCTCTGACAAGAATATACCACAAATGGGATAGCTTTAACAAACAGAAGTTTATTCTCTTACAGTTTGGAGGCTTTACGTCCAAGTTCAAAGTATCAGGCTCTAGGGGATGGGTGAAAGCCCCTCAACCTTGGGCTTGAGCTCTGCCTCCTGCTCCCAGCCCATTGGTTGTTGTTGTTGTTACGTTCCATCAAGTTGGACCCGACTCATAGTGACCCCTCCTTGGGTTTCCGAGGCAGTATCACTATGGAAGTAGATTGCCCCATCTTCCTTCCGAGGAGTGGCTGGTGGGTTTGAACTGCCAGCCTTCTGGTTAGTGGTCAAGGGCCTTAGGCACTGTGCTAGTGGCCCTAATGCCCCTAGTATAGTGCATTTAAACCTATAAAACTTTAACTATTAGATCTTTGCCTGGGTCCATCAGAATGCTTTAGCTGAAAACTATATTCAGAAAATAGTGCTCTTACATACCTTTTATTCACTTGCATGCTCAAATTCCCCACCCCCCTTCTAAACACACTGCTATCCCTTTGTTTAGGCTCTCCTTATATCTTTATCCTCTCTAATCTGTGCTACATCTCACCACTAAATTCACATTTCTATATTGGCTGTAGATTAATTTCTACACTAAGTAGATTAACAGAAATCTTTAGTGGCTGCCATTGCCCATGGTAAATCTAAATGTGTTATTGGGCATCTGAGTCCAGTTTACCTGGCCAGCTTCCACTCTTGGCACTTCTTGCAATGTTCTTGCCCTACCACACACTTGTCACTTCTATGCAGGCATATTATTCATATGTTCTTCTCTGTGTCTGAAAAACCTTTTCCCTGACTGTCCACAAAATTTCTCCTCTCTTAAAACTCAGCCCAAATGCCCTCCTCTAAGAATGCTTTATAATATTTTCGAATTTAGAAGTCATTGTTGTTGTTGTTTAATTTTTATTGTGATTTGGGTGAAAGTTTACAGAACAAATTCACTTTCCATACAGCAGTTCACATGCACTTTGTCTCATGACATTGACTACAATTTTCCACAATGCAATAGCTCCCCTCCTAGTTCCTCCCCATAGTTACCTCTTCCCTGTGTCCTTCCCTCCATGCACTCCTGCCCCCCAAGCTGTCTCCCTGTGCATACATAGCCCTTCTATTCTCCATGATTGATCTCTCCAAGAAGTGTATCTACCTAATGTAAATGTTCAGCTCATATGCCTATCTTTTGTTTGGCTGGAAGCCAGGAGTAGGTTCAGTTCCAGACCTGAAGGGCAGCTAGGGGCCATAGTCTCAGTGGTTCCATCAGGCTCTATCAG